GGAGCAGGAAAGCTGACCCCATTTCAAAAGAAGGGTCCTGACCCGAAACATCAGCTTTCCTGCTCCTCTGATGCTGCCTGGCCTGCTGTGCTCCTCCAGCTCCACCCTGTGTTATATCTGACTCCAGCATTGGCAGTTCTTACTATCTCTGGAAGAATTTCAAGCTGACCTATTTTTAATTTAAAGATATATTGTTGAGAAAGAACTATGAGTAATTTTTTTCCAATTTTGGTTAATACAGTGGCAAGGTAATACTGTAAGTGGCTTCTACTTCCACTATTTTGCATCCGTATAGTACTCACTTTCATCGGTGAACTTGTCTGGCTCACTAATGTACTCTAGGGAAGTAAATTTGCCATTCTTCCCTTATTTGGACAACATGTGACTCCAGATCCACAGTAATGTGGTTGACTCTTAAAATGCCCTCTGAAATGGCCCAGCAAACCACTCAATTTTAAACAAAAACTGCTACAACGACTAAACAAAGAAACAGAACTAGATACAGCAAGGAACAGCACCAGGCATACTTAAAAATTAGTCGCCAACCTCTAAATTGGGTGTCACCTGGTAAAATTACAATACAGGACAATTTGCATTCCAAACACATGCAATGGACAGAGCTAAGCGATCTCATAATCAATGGATTAGACCCAAGTTCTGCAGTCTCATTATATCCATTTGTAAACAGTGCTAGATAATTAAGCAATTAACAGGATATCAAATATCCCCATTGTCAATGATGGAAGAGGCCAGCACATCAGTACAAGACACAAGGCTAATGCACCATTGCTGGTAGACTTTAACCAATTTGATTTACTCCACCTGATATCAAAAAACGGCTGAATACTTTGAAAGATACAGACCCCGCCAACATTTCAGTAATAGTACTAAAGATATCTGCTCTTGAACAAGCCACACCCTACTCAAGCAATTCCAGTTCAACTGCAACACCAGCATCTACATCTAAAATAAGGAAAATTGCCTAAGTAGGTCCTGAGCACAAAAAGCTAGATAATTCCAACCTGGCCAATTGCTGCTGAATCGCTGACTATTTGCACCCTGAGAATTACCATTATCCAGAAACTGAACTAAGGGCCTTTTAAATACTGTGGTTACAAGAGCTGGTCAAAAGCTAGGAAATCTGCAGTGGATTGCTCTTCTCCTTTGTTCTCAAAACCTATCCACCAACTACAAGGCACAAATCAGGTATATGATGATATACTCTCCATTTGCTTGGTTGGGTACAACTCCATCAACGTGTACAAGCATGACACAATTCACAACAGTGTAGTCCAATGATTGCCAACTTGATTGATACCCCAACCACCATCTGCAACATTCACTCCCATCACCATAAATGCAGAGTGACAGTAGTGTGTAACACCTACAAGACGCACTTCAGTAACTAAGCAATGACATTCAACAGCATCTTTGAAACCCACAACTTTTACTGCTGTCATGACAATGGGTCACAAGCCTGAAGTTCTATGGACATTTTTTAACTTTTAATTCCAGATGTGTTTTTTTTAAAAGAAGACTGCTGCAGATAAAAAGAGACTGTAGATGTAAGTTAATTAGTGCCTGGCAAATTCCTGTGATGAACCCATTGAATGTTGCTGGTAGAATGTCAAGGAAACTTTAAACAGAGAGAGAGATACCTAACAGGAAGAGATAACAATAGGACTGAATATTTCTCCCCATCCGAGCTGAAAGCCACTTCTTGCAGACATTTTTTTGTTCTGTCCTTAAAGGTTAAAATCAACTGTAACCTTGTGTGCTAGTGGAAGAAGGTGTGCTAGTGAACTGAGGCCCAGGTGTACTAGTCTGAACTCACGTGCTATTGTGCTGTGAAAGACATAGAAAAAAACCATGTTTTGCAGATACAAGGAACCTTTCACTCTGAATGCAAGAAGCAAATGCAAAAACAAGCAAGTCTGTCAGAGGATATAGGACATGATAGACTCTCTTGCTCTGAGAGCTGCTAGCTAACAAACATTAAAAAATAGAACAGAACAAAGGATTTCAACTAATTGCAAAGCCAAATATCCAAAAATCGACCATTCAACTATCAAATTACTACCATCTCACCTTAACAAACCACTCAAAGAGACTACAAGGTGTGGAGCTGGATGAACACAGCAGGCCAGGCAGCATCAGAGGAGCAGGAAAGCTGACGTTTCGGGTCTGGACCCTTCTTCAGAAAAGAGACTGATGTGTCTATCACTGAACCTTATCTTGGACTCACTTTTTATTCCTCTGTATTCCTGCGTATATGTGTGTTGTCTTATGACTTCTTTTAACGTTTTGTAAATATTAAACTCACTTTTTTGCTAACTCAAAACAGCATGCTCCTTTTAAAAGATAAATTCATTTGATCTGAGAGAATGGCATTCACAAGGAAGGGATCCTTTTCAAATTGTGAGTGTGAGTGAACAAAGAAGAGGAATAAGGAAACTCATCACTCAGGAGCTAAACAATCTGGGGTATCCCTTTTGGGACCAGAGTAACTTGTTCTTTCTATCCCATAGGGCAACACATCTATCTCATTGAGAGATGAGGGAGGTGGAGGCGAAATGATGGATTTGTTTTGACAAGCACTGAATTCTTTAAGTATTTCATTTTGTATGTGCATATAGTCCAAAGGTAATCAATCTGGTATTGAGGGCAGGAAATCTGAAAGATTTGCAGATGTAACTAATGATTCTTTTCTTATACAACACTCTAGTGAGTAAATTAAGGGCAATTGGGTACTCGGCTTTTTTTAAGTCATGACACTGATACAATATCAGACCTCCATGGACAATATTGATCACAAAATTAATCAATTCAACTTGATCAGTTAACCCACCAAAGTTGCTGAAAGTTCAAGCTAGTTTCATTTTGTGCAACTTCCAGACCAGGAGTGGTTGGTTAGAAATCTGCAGGTTATTAAAAAAGGTGAGGAAGGCTAAGTTGTCAGCGAACATTTGTGTAGAAGACTTCACAGTTTACAGGAAAAAAACTGGGGGCAATCAGTGACATGAAACTTAGAACAAACAAAAACAGAAATTGTTAGAGAAACTTTGCCGGTCTGGCAGCATCTGTGAAGTAAAAAGCATGTTAACGCTTTGAGTTCAGTTACCCTTCTTCAGATTGCTTGTTTCAGATCTCCAGCATCCGCAGTTGTTTGCTCTATTACACCAAATTTGAACATTTCATAAAGAAGGGTAAGTTTTCAAATTTGAATTGCTGCAAAGTGACAGTGTTGGGAACAGAATGAGATTTTGTTTTGCTGTGTATTTTAAGATCTTTAAAATTATCTTCTATATCTAGATAACTTATTTTCGTTTCATCTTTTTTGCAATAAACTTAGGAGTCATGGAATCATACAGCACAGAAACAGACTCTTTGGTCCAAACAGTCCATGCCGACCATAATCCCAAACTAAACCAGTCCCACCTGCATGTGCTTGGCACATATCCTTCCAAACATTTCTTATTCATGTACTTTAAACGTTGTAACTGTAGTCGCATACACCACTTCCTCTGGAAGTTCAATCCATAAATGAACCACACTCTGTGTAAAAAAATTGTTCCTCATGTCTTTTGTAAGTCTTTCTCCTCTCACCTTTAAAATTGCCCCCAATCTTGAAATCTCCACCCTAGGGAATAGACACCTGCCATTCATCTTATTTATACCGCTCATTATTTTATAAACCTCGATAAGGTCACCTCTCAACTTCCTATGCTCCAGTGAAAAAAAGTCCCAGCCTATCCAGCCTCTCCTTATAAATCAAACCTTCCATTCTGGGGAACATCCTGGTAAATCTCCTTTGAAC